CTCGGTCCGGATGTGGATGAGAAGCAGCTTTATGATACATTCTCGGCTTTGGTAGTATACATGGATGGGTCGGGTAAATCTTAGTTATTCGGTGCGACTTTGCTGGAGGATCCGTAACAGCACTCTCACGCTGTTATGGTTAATCTAGTCGGACCAAAAATTTTTCTATCACATATTTGAGTTCGTTGTTTCGATCTAATGGGTCCGGCCCCAGCCCTTCGGTGGGATCAGCCGAAAAGCCATTGGGGTTGGTCACCATCTTCTTCACACAATCTCGGAATATCATGCAGTTACGTAACGTCCATGAGAGAGTGTCCCTTCTGTAGGTATCGTGGTCTTCTGCAAAATCATGAGGAGTGAGACTGGTGAATCCAAAGGCTTCGGTTTTGTCAGCTATGACGGATTTGAGGCATCCGATGCTGCTATGGCCGGCATGAACGGTGATCAGTTCAACGTCACCACTCCTGGCTCGCTCACATATGTGCCTTAGGCCAATACTTGTGCAATCGACAAATCTCAGTGTCGTATTCTTACAAGAAGGACAGTAAAGGAGAGCGCCATGGTACAGCTGCTGAACGAATGATTGCAGCCAATAGGGAGAGGTACTCGATCTCTCACTCATGGTCATCCTTATATGCCAAGCAGTTCCCAACCACATCACGTGGAGAATGAGTACTATGCCAGTGTAGGGGCATCGGCGATGCCGCAGGCAGCTCCAGCGCCTTTAGCAGGTAGTAGGAAGCTTGGCTTTGGAGTAGGGAAGTCGAATGCATCGTGTCAGGCAATCTCCCAACTCCTCCTGCTCCTCCACCTGGGATGTCAGCGCCTTCATCGGTAGTAGAATGGGAACGCTCGTACTCGGTTCTCGGGTGTATCCTTCGTTTAGGGCAACTTCCCGACTCCTCCTATGCCGCCACCAGGGATGGCCTTCCCTCCTGGAATGCCTCCGCCTCCCGGGATGCCCCCACCACCGGGCATGCCTCTTCCACCAGGTAAACTACCCTCCTGGTTGATGCTCTGCTGTAGTGGGTCTGTTCAGGAATGCCTCCACCGCCGGGGATGCCACTCCCACCGGGAATGCCACCACCACCGGGCATGCCGCTCCCGCCAGGGATGCCCCCACCGCATGGAATGGGTATGCCTGGAAGTAGCTAGGGTTCAATCTACCATTTGTTGCCCAGGTTCATCTCAGCAGCACTAGGAACTCCAACCTAGGTCAGAGGAATTGTGACCATCATCTCCTTCGAGGGTGATAGCGATGGCTGCCAAGATGGCTTCCTCTATTTGGATCATTCCTTTCCATAGTCAGCTATAAGTGTCTAGTTAGAGTCCTTCCTATATGGTTCGGGCAGTTGTGGGTCTCTGCAGCTTCCCTTTGCCTTGATGTCAACCCGTACCCCAGCAATTAGCGAAGATTTTCCACACTTCCTTGCTTGGTAAACGGGTGTTTACTCCTTCGTTTCCATGAGGCAGTCGAATAGGTACGGTCTTATACCAGACTTCTCCCACCTTGCTAAAGATGATAAATTCCACTGTAGAGATCAGTGGTTTCGTTTAAAGCAACTGGTCGACTGCCGGTATTATGCTCACCTTCAGTAAGCTCTTCTCGGACTGTTACTACTATTACTACTAATTCCGTATTGATTATTGATCAGATATGCAGAATCTGAGAGCTACAATGCTAAGTTGGTGATGAGCCGAATAGAGGATATTCGGGGTGTCAACAGATCAAGAAGTTGCCAATGGAGCGTCGCCCTGAAGCATATAAAAA